GCCAGCTTTTCAAAGTTTCCAACGTGACCTGATGTGTTTTTCGGATGAGTAGACTGTTCGTAGCCAATGTGACAAGGTGCTCTGCTTTATGATTTTAGCAAAAGTAGTTGTCACCCTCTTCCCCTTGCTTGATCTCAAGAGTTTCTGGTCTTATTGGTGGAGCTTTAGAGAAGGAAAGAGGAACACAGGACTGCTGGGTCATGGAAATTTTCCGCAGATGTAAGGAACACAGCCTAGGGCACATCTTTTCTGCAGAAGCCAATACATTTCTCATCAGATCAGATCCATCTTGGTGTGAAGGTTATGGGAAACTTTATTCTCTGCTTTCTTAGAATATGTGATTAGTGACAAGAGTTTAAAATAGTTTGGAGCATACGTGGATTATCCCAATTTCCACATATGGTCAGGTATGCAAATGATACTAGCAGCAAGTTGTCCAGTGCCAGGAACTTTGATCTCTAATCTGAAGGTCTGCCGTTTCAAGTTAAATATTCTAGTGAAACAGTAGCCTTTGACAGGAGTAAGGTTCTGGGCCATTCCTCTGTTTTCAGAAACACTTTTTCCCCTGTCCTATATTTTTGACTTGACAATTTTATTTGCATTTGCCGAAATGCAAATGAATTTAACCTGCCCTTGTAGAATCTGACCTTCCTGTGTTGTGCTTCCTCCCCTTTTCCTACCTGCCATTCGCCTGTTATTGAATCTAGAGCCAAAAGAAGGGAGTATCTTAATATTTCAAGTACACTTATTACTGAGTTATCCTAAAAATATATTGGGCAGACTTAAGCTGTTTGGCTTACTCACCATTTGTATTCCTGGCACCCAGCCCCCAGAAAGGTGCTTATAGAGAAGCCTACATTCGCAGGATGTGCCTTAGGGGTAAAAGCTACCTAAGTGCTCACGTATGCAGTTTACCTTTCCATTTCTGATTTCTGCTGTGCCCTGGACTTGATCTAGCAATTCCTCACTATCTTGTGAGTTCTTTGATAATTTTTAAGATTTTTCTTTGCATAAATTTTCCTGTTCATGGGAAAGATTGATCTGAATAACTAGAAATAGTGCTTCATTTTTCAGGAATATAGTCACTGGATTTGTGAGGTTACCAATATTTTAAATTAGTGTCCTAACCACATGCTAGAAATCATCAAGTGCACCTTTATTTATAAACACTCTTTTGTTTTGTTTTGAGAGCTCTGTAAAAGAGAGTGTAGCATTCATGTGTTGATGTTACAAGTAATTACACTGATGTTACAAGTTATTGACATGGCATTTAAGTACTGTTATTGATTTTTTCAAACTCTGTACAAGGTTTATTTTCTCAAACTGCTTTACAATAAAATGTCATTTAATTTTGTTTTGCATTTAAAATTTGATCTTCTAGTCTAAAAATTTTCATTTGCAAAATTTCATTGACTTCTTAAGTATATTTACGTGGTAATTCCAACTGAACACAGCAGAATTGCTGAATAAGTTCAGGCTGGGTTTAAGTAGAGTTTATGTGAAAAGTTGTCTTATGTGGTTGATGTGGAACTTGACATTGTTCACATCTCTTCAGCACATGAGCTCCGGGGTGATCATTTGTTACTAATGATGCCCTTAGACCTCAAGGACTGCTTTTTACCATATTTTATCTTGTGTTGTATCTGAAATCATGACCTAACCCAAGGTCCCAAATATTTACTTAAGATGTTATCATTTGTAGTTTTTCCTATTACATTTAGGTCTGTTTTGAGTAAACTTTTGTGTATGGTTTAAATGGGGGTCCAGCTTCTTTTGCACATGGATATACAGTTTGCACCATTTTGTTCAAAAGACCATTTTACTATTGAATTTCCTTAGCAATGTTGTGGAAAGTCAATTGGCCATAAATTTGTAGGTTTATGTCTGGACCAGAACCGATGTTTGAATCAAGTCTAAAGGAGTCTAACTATTTTTTTAAATCTGGATATCTAGTTCACCAGAATCAGCATAATTTAGTAAAGAGACCATATTTTAGCTTTCACTATTGTTATTTTTTGTTACTGAATTTTAGGCCCTATGCAGACCATTATCAACTTGCTTGTATGTTTTATGGTTTTCTACCTCTTTCTTTTATACCTGGAAACCAGAGTTTTACATACCTCCCTGCTAATTTCTCTGTGAGTTTCAAAATATGTGTGTTTTATTTGATCAACCATTTCTCGGTGTTTCACTGCAGGAGGGTTTTGAAATGTCGTTTGCCATGTTGCTGGGGCCCCAGCCCTGCTGCTGCGGGTTGTGCCTCTCAAACCTGGTGCTCAATTTCACTAGGAGGATTTTCCGTCTCTGCATTTTCCCCTTCAGACTTTCAGTGGTCAAAAAAGTGCCACATTCCAAAAAGTATGTGCTTTGTAATCCAGTTGATTTGTGAAATCTGATGACACTGAATTAACGCAGAGACTGCTTCTCATTTTGGAATAAGAGAAGCCCTTGTCGCTTGTTTTCTCCTTCATGATGCTAAAGGTGCTTACTCGGGCAGAAGTAAAACAATCTCAAATGTCATCTACGGTTTTTCCCGAGAAGACCTCTGAAGCACTGCAGAGAGTGAATTCAGCTGCTGGGTATCTATGTGAGCGTCATTCTTTGCAGAAATATAAACTCTAGCCAGAGTCCATTGAAAGATCTGAGAGATCTTAGAAAAGAGACTCTTGGAGAAACATTTGGGGGGAAAATGAGCATCATGGAATGTCAGGCCTAAAGGGCCTTTACTTGTGATAACACCCACACTTTGTCTCGTGGTAGGGGAACTGAGCCACGGGAGGAAGTCAGTTTTCTAAAGACACTTCAGCAGGGGTAGAACCCGGGGTAAAACCCAGACTGCTTCTTTTTCTTCTTTTTTTCTTTTTTCTTTCCCCTGTTGTGACATTTTCCAGACTGATAATTTATCTATCCCCCAGTAGTTCTATTGAGGGTTTTGTGAATGAGACCATAGGCCTTCCTTCTCTCATATGGTATTTCGTAAGATTTCTTTCTTGAATCAACCTTTTAATCCTTTATTTTATTTTATTCTATTTTACTTTATTTTTTATTGACTGCTTTTAGAGAGAGCCAGAGAGAGGAAGGGAGTGACAGAGAGAGAGAGAGAGAGAGAGGGAGACCCAGAGGGAGGAACATGGATTTGTTGTTCCCCTATCTGTGCATTCATTGGTTGCTTCTTGTATGTGTCCTGACCAGATCGAAACCACAACCTTGGCATGTCTGGACTGTGCTCTAACAGACTGGGCTAACCTTTTACTCTTTTAAACCAGTTCTTTAAATATTATCTAATGCATAAACCTGTGACAGACAGACTCTAGGATGGCCTAAGGGATCCCTGCCTCCTGGTCTTCAGACTGGCTTCCTTCACTTAGCAGCTCAGTCATTTTTAAAGCTCTTAAAATGTTAATGTGATTTAAAAATAAACCATGAAGCTCTAAATGCTGTGAAGTTATCAAGCACTAGGAAGAACAGGCATCTTAAGTCCTGCTCATTCCCAGGTGTCTCTCTTCCTCTCAAAGTCTTCCTGGGGGTCTGAAACTCGAGAAGTACATGAAGGTCAAGATCCGCTCGGGGTCTGGAATGTCTGCAGTTTCAATATATATGCAATTTTGAAGCTACCACTTGGAGCAAACAGTCTTGCCCGTCAGCTACATATCCTGTGGGCAGGTGGGGCTGCAGAACCCGTTCGCACCTGCCTCCAGGTCAGGGCAGGGGCAGTGGTTTGTCCCCCCGCGCCCCCCAAGAGCATATGCAGTGAGAGGAGGCACAGCCTGCTTCCCCAGGAACCCCACTCCTTCATCCGGGGCTTGCAAGCTTGCACTTCCTCTGAGTATCAAGCGAAAGGGAGGGGAAGCAGGTCCTATGGAAACCCCAGAGGGGACAAGTCGCTCTTAGGCCGCTACCACGGAGAAGCTTTATGTTGGGTCTGGGAACTCTGCGTCCCGCCCACCTCTTCTGCTGCTGAAAGAACAAACAGCGCTTCTCTCTCCTCTGTGCCCTAAGCCCGCGTGCACCGTTATCCTGCTGGGCCTCGGAGACAGCCTCCGGTGGGTCTGTGACAGGCGCTGTTTGGGTTCCTTTGGTGACGCACTATGTTGTGAATCTGAAAACATTTTTATTTTTCAAAGTCAAAAAGTCAGTGTGGCATTGCCTGCCGGAGTAGTAGGCCAATCACGTTATGGGGGACTTGTTGCCAAGATATCACAAGCTGTCTCTGGGAGGAAATGAAATCAGTACCTTATTAGCTGTAAACTGATTGACTCCATGTCAGTAATGACTTTTAATCGGTAGCGCCACGCTTAGGAAATACACACATGTAATACAGAGCAGGAGTCGGGTGCAGACAGTAAGGTGAACATGGTAATAGCCTCTCATTGAATACAGGCTGTAAAACACACAAGGCAGAAATTGGGTAGAAAATTGGGCGGAGTCTGAAAACCAACTGGAGAGGGTGGACACAGCAGGTGAGGGCTTTCATGCAGTGTCCATACGTCAGCTAATTTAGTTGGATCACAGTCTTATCTCCTGGGAGCAAGTATTTCTTGGAGCAAGCAGCTTGGGAATTACTGTTTGGTTTAGTGTTGCTGAACATAGGTTTGGGAAGAGCCTGGTCTGCATATTGTTTAATAAAGGAAATAATATTGGTTTCAATTCTTGTACCTATGTTTTTTTAAGCCATAGCGTCTTTATCTTTGAAATGGAAGTTGTATTAAATAAGATCATATAGGGCTGTATTGAACAAAACACATGCATTTTGATGTCAACATCAGAGAAACCATGTTCAGATATTAGAATGCCTCACTTCAAATCCTATCCCATTACTTTCTAGCTTATTTCCTAGAGTAGATTGCAAATGTTTAAAGTCATCTTTCCCTATCTTATAATAGGAATGTAAAAACATATTTTTTCACATTGGATTGCCAGTATCCAAAGAAAAGTAACTAAGACCAAAATGTGTGTGCTCGTCTAACCCACACTACTAACAGTCATTGTTTCGTTTGCAGAATGACATGAATTACATAGCATCCAGTGGACTGCTATTCAAAGATGGCAAAAAGCGGATCGATTACATCCTGGTTTATAGAAAGTCAAATATACAATATGACAAAAGAAACACATTTGAAAAGAACCTCAGGGCAGAAGGCTTGATGTTGGAAAAGGAGGTAGGTGTTTTAGTAATATTAATTATGTCATATAATATGCTGGAAGAGAGATGTTTTTATGTTTCGGTGTGGAAAGTGTGTGGCATATGGCTTTATAAAATGTATAGTTACATTTTCTCCCAAGTGTAAAAGAAATACATACTCTGTATAGCCCCACTTAAATATGTATTCCTTCCGTACTCTATATATTTCTGTCAATTTAAATATTTTTTAAAGTGCATAACTATTTTTACAGTTTTAAAAATTGAAGAAGGAATAATTATACCTATGCAAAGTACAAAACCCTATGAAAAGAAAAGCAAAATGTTGAAAGAAGAGAGTTTGCCAAACTGTTAATGTCTGGGTTTTCATATCGGAACTATGGGTGATTTTCTTCCCAGTCCTTTTTCTCTTATGCTATTTTTAAAGACTATTTTTAGGATCGCAGTACAGTTGAGATGAAGGTACAGAGATTTCCTATATACCCCCTTCCCCTACACATGGGTAGCTTCCCCCATTATCAACATCTCCTACCAAAGTGGTACATTTGTGACCATTGTTAAACCTACGACACATCGTTTCACTCAGAGTCCATAGTTTACATTAATGTTCCCTTCTGATGTTGTACATACTATGGGTTTGGACAAATTTGCAAAATGTATTTACATTATAGCATCATACATAGTATTTTCCTGCTCTAAAAATCAGCTGTGCTCCACCTATACATCTCTCCTACACTCCCAACCTTTGATTTTTTTTACTCTCTGCATAGTTTTGTCTGTTCCAGAATGTCATATAGTGGAATCAAGTGTGTAGCCTTCTCAGATGGGCACTTTTCACAGAGTAGTATGCAGTTAAGTTTCCTCCATGTCTTTTCATGGCTTTATAGCTCCTTTCTTTTTAGGGTGGAATACTGTTCCATTGTCTTCCATGGCCTGGGAGGCAGGAAGAAAAAGGAAGGGAGAGAAAGATTGAAGAAATAGGAGACAGATGAGATTGAAAAAAAAATGTCAAGGCCTTTGGGTAAGGGTATAAGGGAAGAGCCAGTAAATAGTTAAAATATCAAGCATAATACAACAAAAATCAAGATTCCTGAATTATATTTAAAGTTAATTTTCTACAATTAAATTTTTACTTGTCAAAGGTATTTTTACAACAGGTTTATCTTTACTTATGTTTCTAATTCTAAAAGTAATGACGATGATTTTTTAATGGTTGAGTTAATTAGGACTAGATTAATTATCCCAGTGCTAGTGTGTAAAATCAACCTGCTATGACAAACGCAGTTTGAGTGAACAAAAACATGTTTCTATAAAAAGCATTTTAACATTATGTCATAAAAATGATTGCCTTAAAGTTTCAAATTAAGACTTTTTTAACACTGTTTGTATTGAGTTTCTATTGCTGCTTAGCAAATTACCACACATTTGGCAGCTTAAAACAAAAGTCATTTGTTAACACACAGCTCTGCTGGCCAGAGGTTTGAGCATGACCTTGGCTGGGCTCTTTGCTCAGTCTCTCATAAGACTTAAATTGCTACGTTGGGCAGGCTTTATTCACACCTGGGGGCTCCAGGTACTCTCAAGCTTATGTGGTTGTGGCAGGATTTAATTCCTTGTGGTTGCAGGACTGAGGTTCCCATTTCCTTGCTGGCTATCAGCTAGGGATGGTTCTCGGCTCCTAGAGGCCATTCTCCTTCCTTTCTACATGGCCCCCCACCTCCATTTTCAAAACCAATGATGGAGAACCTTCCTTGTGTCCCTCTGCTATTTTGAATCTTTCTTGCCAGGAAGAGTCCAGTTTCTTTTAGGGGCTCATCTGCCATGGAGGATAATCTCCTTTTCTTAACAGCCAATGTGACATATAACAAACCTAATTATGGGAGTGAATATTGTATCCTATTCACATGTCCCCAGGGTTGTACAGGAGTACAGGACGAGGACAACAGCAGAGCACGAGGGTCTTGGAGAACGTTTTAGAATTCTGCCAGTCACACTATTAAAAAATATCAGCATCATGAAGTTACTGCCCTTCTAAGCAAACAGCTTTAGAAAGAAACATACCTCTATGATGACAAGATAGAATCCAAGTACATTTTTAGTTTAAATCTTATATTCACTGATAACTAACTGGTATGTAAATATTTATAGTTATCAGAACTATCAAATTCAGCATTTTGCATTATCACAAACATTTTCTGTCAAAGTTTCTACTATTAAAGGCCGTGGCCTTTGGTGGCAGCTTAATTCTAATCAACATTAGTTGATAATAGTTAGGGTCTATGACAGGCGGAAAGGGGACATTGAAATTGTGAAAATGTCAGCAAGACTGGATTTTTAGCTGAAAAATTGGAGTATTTCTCAGTGGACGATCCTCATTTTTTACATTTACATTTACCAGAGCTCAGCATTGAGTCTGGCACATAGTAGGTCTCAAATCCTCATTAAATTGCACATTGATGTGAACAATTTTCAGATGGTCACATCATCCGCAGATAATGGTGCATATTTTAAGCCCATATCAATGAATAGGTAGACACTCTGTAACTGTCAGGGCAGGTGCTTTGTTATCCAAATACATTTCCACATCATATCAGCAATTTGTCTTTACCTTAGAGTTAATACCATGAGCTGCCACATTCTATTTTCTTTCAGTTCTCTGCCACCAACTTGCAGAGTGACTTTGTAAAAACAGTTTTCAAATTTCCTCTTCTCTCGAGTGAATGTTCTACCTCTTGGGAATTTTAGGTGGAATAATTAAATAATAATGTGAAGTGCGAAGGCAGTGGGTGTTTTGTTCCCTCAGAAAAGCCTGCCTTCACAGAGCTAAAACGATTGGTGCCAGATTGGGAGCTTTTGATTGCAAGGGAGAAAGTAATGTTTCCCCCTGCCAACACCATCCCCTGCTCAGTAGCTACAAGAAAATGGCACTACTTTTCTTTTTTTAAAAATAAAGGTATAAAAAAAGAGAAGTTATGTTGAGGGAATTACAAAAGAAGACAGTTCATGCTTGAAAAGATCTATGTATGTTTAAAGTTAAAACATACAAAATTAGAAATGTTCTAGCCATGTGTGCACTTAGCTTGACATTTTACTCATTGATGATAGAGTTAATGTAGCAACATCCTTCTAAGCAACCCTTTTATTTAAGAGCATTAGATTATTTCACACTTAGAGGTTGATAGGAGTGAATTAACAGTCAGGGCTAAGCCATCTATTCATGATACTAATTTGATTCCTCACATAGCACCTCTTCTAAAATAATTCTGACTTAATTGCTTTCTTATCTCCACTATCTCTTGATTAGGTAGAAATTACACAGGATTTACTCAAAATAAGTTACATTCATTTATTCATTAAATACTTGTCAATTTTTATTTTCATCATTCTTTACCTTTATATTTAAAATAAACATATTCCAAGTAGAGAAGGTTTTTGGAAATTATACTGATGTGAAAGTACTTCTTGCTATTTTTCTCATGGTGGTTTGCAAAACGCTAGTACGTCAGTAAGCTATGAGAAAAAACAAGCAATCCGTGATCCAGAATTTTGGACATTCAGAATTACTTTTTTCACCTTCTTGTATATTTTTAGAAAGTACATACATATTAACGTGTCTCACAAGTTTTCTAGTGAGAAACCCAAAACTAACTTGACCACAGAATATGCCCCTCACTCCTTACTGCCCCCCCACACACCTCTTTTTTCATAATACTGTGGAACAAACCTTGGCAAATGCTAGCCTGTGAGAGTGCCTGCCCTATGCCGTCGGTGTGAGGCTGCCTTCTGCATCAGAGTGTTAGTCCAGTGAATGTCTCATGGTTCTCTGATAATCCTGTTTAAAAATATTGCTAGCACAACTTTGAAATATTGTCTGGCAAACTTGTGAAATTAACCATATCTAAAAGAGGGGGCCTTATGAATATCTGAATATAACATTTTACAGTTTTTAATTTTAAAAGATACATGATTTTAAGCTAAACTGATAAACTTCTTGCATACTTTTCAGTTTTTAAGACTGGAATGTTTTTGAGACGTTCCGTCTAGTAGCAGTTTACATGAACAAGGTAGCCGATGGAGCGCAGCTGCGTCTCGCCGGCAGGGCTGTCTAACGGGGGCAGACCGCGGCTCTCCCTTTCTAGGTGTTCAGCTCCTCTAATCACATGAGGGAGAAGTTCTGTGGGATTCACGGCTCACAGGGCCACTAACAGCTTCTTAGCCCCATGGGCCTCAGCTATTGTGGGAGCTTCAGAATATAATTGGACTTTTTTTAAGAAGTAGAATATAATGTGAATACTATGTAACACCAAAGTAGCCAATTATTTATGGACTTATTTTAGCCTATTGGAGCACATCTAAGAATCTCCATCATTGTTTGGCTCAAAGAGGCACCTGATTCTCTGTTAATGATGTGAGTAAAGTATTCAGAACAATGGGATCCAATCTGAGATTTCTTAAGAGTTAGACCAAGGTATACAGTTTCATTTAAAGCTCCTTGGATAATTCTGATACGTGTCTGACTCTGCTTTAAAAATCTCTTGTTGAATCAAAGACACTAAAATTCTTGTGATCTCTTGATACGGAAAAAAAGTGGGCTAAAAGGTTAGAGTAAATGTGTAAATTTGACAGCTTTGTAAGATAATGGACTTGTGTGATTTATACTCCACCCCCCCCCCACGATTTCCATAGTACCTAGCAAGTAGTAATTATTCAATAAAACATGCTAAAAGAATAAGCGAATGAATTAATGAGTGACTAGTGGCAACTATCTATCCCTCTGAGCAAGAATGAGGGGAACTTAATAAAGTATCCTCAAGGATAACTTTAGATTCCTAATTGGCTCCTAATTTTTTTCATTGGGGATTCTGAACCTTGACACTAATCTATATAAGAAAATGCACTGACTCATACCAGTGATTATTTCTTGTATATGATGTCATTATTAAATTTTTATTTAAGATTTTTATATATTAAGCATTTTTATTCATATAAACTACTTTTAAATTAGTGACAATGATACATGTGTAGACAAAAGGACAATGTTACTTTCTCTCAAATCAAATTACCCCACATTATCATCAGCTCTGATTCTAAATAATGGTGCCTATCTGCTGTCTTTGCAGCCAGCTGTTGCAAACGCTGATATCATGTTTATTAAAATTCACATTCCGTGGGACACGCTGTGCAAGTATGCAGAGAGGCTGAATATCAGGATGCCCTTCAGGTACTTTCAAATTTTATTTCATTCTCTCTGAATGTATATTAAGATTAGTCTGGAGTTTGTGTTTTTTTGCAAAATCTTAGGGCAATAAATGTAATCATTTCAACAAGGGAAATGCTTTTCCTTCTGAAGGCTGGGAAATCTTGGACACTTCCCCCCAACCCCCTTGGCAAGCAAATATTGAGTAGACATGTCTTCCTGTATTGCATATCTTGTATTATATATAAAGTGTTTCACTTTCCTCCATCATTCCTCAAAATAAAATTTAGGGGTGTTCCTACTATGTGCAAAGTGTTAACTTGCATTGAAGATGTGGACATTTATACTTATTTGGAGCTCAATGTGCTTTTTTTTTTAAATTTTATTTTTGTTTAAAATGTTACAGATGTCCCTTTTTCTCCCCATTCCACCCTGTTCCATCCCCCTCCCCAGTCCCTCTCCCCACCATTGTCCTTTATTAGCTGCTAAGAATGTTTTAAAAGATTCAGGGTAACAACATACCAATAAAAAAGGCCTCTAGACAACGAATATGAATGAACAATAAGAGTGCAATTCATAAATATGGAGAAATTTCTCATACCTGGTAGCATGAAACAGGCTGACTCTGATAAGAGCGCAGACATCCTTAATAAGTCTTAGGATATTCATTTTTAAAAATATCAATTTTTTTACTTGCTGGTAAGGCTGCATTTGAAAGAAGACTTCGGATACATCTGAAGAAAGTAATATAAAAACCATGAAACCTATGCACTTTACCATCTCTACTTATTGATGTTGTGGCTGAAATTTCATCTTTATAATATGTTTTTTCCAAATAATGTATACAGCTGCTGCATTATGAAACTTTTGGAAAGTTCCATTGAAATTCTCATGATTTAATAATAATATATTAGAAAATATGCAACATTTTCCAAAGTGTACCAAAGGAATTCTGGCTCCACAGGCTTAGTAGAAAAATATCCTGTGACCAAATATGCTTCTGAATTTCTGAGTTACACAATGTTTCTTCACTGTAAGAATTTTTAGAGAAGTGGTTCTCATTCTGAGTCTTTAGAGTGCCTCAAAATGACCTGGGAAACTTTGTAAAAATGAAGGTTCCTGGAACGTACACCCAGAGATTCTGGCTAGTAAGTCTAGGATAGGATTGAGCATATACATTTGTAATAAACATTCCAAATGATTCTGATGCAGATGAGAAAGAAATATTGTCTCGGAGATTGTAAAATTTTAACAATTATATGATTTTTTATAAAACTCAAGAGGCAGTTATACAGAGCAATCTTTCCCAAATTTCCATCTGATAAAGGATTTTTTTAAAATTTGAATATGATGATGTTCTCGGGAAAATAATTTGAGATGTGCTAGAACACAGAGTTCTTTGGGAACATCTTTCCAGATCCGCTCAAATAACAGGTACAACATTAACTAACTCCTTAGTAACTAACTCCTCATTTATTTATGATGCTCCTGAAATTTGGGATACTTCTCAGCTCATAAGAGAATGCTATTCAAGCACAAACTGTGTGGCCAAGTGTTTTTATGATGGATGGCCAGTTCAGTTTCCAGCTGCCCAGTGTTCTCACAGTTAAGAACATATATATTGTCTTAAAATGAAAACATACAAGAATAACCAAGAACTTATATAGGAAAGATGCATGTCTCTTTTTAAAGATTGATGCATAAAAATGTTATCCATGTTTGGCTAATCTATGTATTTATTCAGTGTTGCAATGTACATATTAACATTCCACTAAGAAAAAGTGCAGATTTATTCAGAAAAAAATATCAGAGTTGTAACCCTGCCTGCAAAAGTTTTCAGCTAACTTATTGTATAAACATGAATTTTGAGCAATGTGCCTACATTTTCTGCTTCAATACCTGTGTAGAATTGTATACGCCTGTATTTTTAGCTATTTCTTGGTCTGAGCCTTCTTCCAAAGTCAATATGGCCTACGTATGGGGCTTGACGTTTCAACACTACCAAGAAAATTTCAGAGAATAGTCTGCATTTTCTAGATATTATACTATCAGGGAGGACTTAACCTGTCCTCTCTACATTCCAGAAATATCAAGCCCCACTTTTGCTGTTTTTCTTTTGCTTCAGAGGCATTTCCTGGTTTCATGTCAGTCTGAAGCATGTGGAAGTTGGAATGTTGAAATGCTCCATGTGATTGAATGTTGTCACTCCCTGGTTTCACATGCACATGTGACTCTCCCAGCTGATTTCTGTTATTTTTCAGGAAAAGATCCTATTACACAGACCAGAGGAGCAAATCAACGGGCAGGTTGGTGGGTGATGTGAATTTGTTTATGACTAATCTGTCATTTGCGGAGGAGGGAATAGAAAGACATTCGATTACCCTTAGCGGTAGTTGTAAATTTTAGGAAAAAAACACTTTGTTGATTTATTCAAGAGATTTTGAAAATGACTTGTGCCAAATTTAACAATGTTTAAAAACAGATACACCTCCTTTTTTTATGTACCATCGGCATTCCTGCAATCCTCACTTGATAGCACGGCAATTTAGCATTTTAGGAGATTTTGATTTTAAAAATAGTTATAAAAAAACAGATAGATAGGTAAATACTGACCCAGCAGAGTAATAGAACATCAGACCCAACAGAGACCTTCTGGATCATTTGATCCACACCTCTTCTTTGACAGAGGCGGTAAAGGAAAGACTAGCATTCAGCACCTTTTGAATCAAAGACCTGCTCCTATTCCACTTTCTTACCCATTTTTAATAGTGGGAAAAAATGTCCTTTTTAAAAATATTTTGGTCAAATGTAAAAGTAAACTAGAAAAATGAACACTGTACTGTGTGTCCTATGCTTTATTATCTTTTGTATTATTATTTTTTTAATTTCATGAAATGAAAATTCAGTTATCAGTTATTTCAACTGACTATTAAAGTCTCTTAAACTATAGTCAAACCTCTTTACAATTTACTTTTTTTAAAAAAAATATATCTTTATTGATTTCAGAGAGAGGAAAGGAGGGAAAGAGAGAGAGAGAAACGTCAGTGATGAGAGAGTCATTGATCAGCTGCCCCCTGCACGCCCCCTGCTGGGCATCGAGCCCGCAGCCCGGGCCTGTGCCCTGACCGGGAATCGAACCCCGATCTCCTGGATCCCAGGTTGATGCACAACTGCTGAGCCACGCCCGGCCGGGCTACAATTTACTTTTTACAAATATTCTCTTTGTTCCCTGACTTTGCGGATGCATATGGGGAGGGTAGCAAACAAATAGGAAAGGTGGTTATGAAAGTATATTACATATTAAACTGGAAAAAAAAAAGAATATCATTTATTTTTCTTAACTTACACTTTCAATTAAGAAAATGGATGATCTTGATTTTTTTTAATTACCTTTGGAGAAGAAAATTATGTTCTGTGTGTGTGTGTGTTTGTGTGATCATCATTGTTATAAAATTACAAAACCCAATTTGTGGATAATTGGAAAGAGGGAAACAAAATCAGTTATGTACATTCCAGCTCCACTGTGCGTACTCTTCCCTGAGGCGGGAAGGGTGTTCTGTGCAGGGCCGTGCTGGCCCGTAAGCCTGGGGGGATTAAAGCACAGGCAGTTACAGCGCTCGAAGGTCGTCGTTTCCGCAGGCAGGCCGATAGACGAGGTCAGAGTTTTGTTATCGCTGCTGTCTGTCCTTTGACAATGCGCTTTCGCATTCAGTTACCAAAGCATCTTCCCAATGACCCGTGGGCGGCGGGACACATTGTAACTGGTTTTAAAAATCAGGAAAAACCAGCGGCTCCTCCCTTCGTGGCTGCTGCCCGCCGCCCGGGGCTCACCCCCGGCCTTCGCAGCTGGCGCGGCACGGCTGGGCTCCCACCAGGTGCCTTTGACCTCTTAATTCAGATTTCTTTTCGGTTCCTCCTGAAAGCAGGAGGAATGCGTGCGTGTGGGTGTGTTTATGTCCTCTGGGAACTCTTCTTCTGGAATGGCAGTGGAAGGTAGGCAATGCAACCTAATCTGATTCTAAATGTGACTTTGTTCCAGTGTACACAGCTATTTTAGAAGACTCAAAAAATGGATGTCTCAGAACCCAATGGTTCTCGACAAGTCGGCTTTCCCAGACCTGGAAGAGTCAGATTGCTACACGGGCCCCTTCAGCCGCGCGCGGATTCACCAGTGAGTCCCCTCTTGTTTCTCCCACCACCTGCCTTAGTGTCTGTCATTATCTGCGAGTTGTCGATAGAATAAAAATAGCTGGGGCCAGTTCCATTGTTTGCCAGATAAGTCAGAGGATGTATCATTTTATTAAAGTGTACACTTAGAACAGTGCTCAGTGAACATTATTAATTATCACCTATGATTTAGAGACAGTCTAGTAATGCATAATTAATTGTAACTCATGGAGTGATAGTCTAGTTCCCAATTATTTCAAAATAATTACTGTGGTAGTAAATCACTCAGTTAAAGTAACAAAAATGATGATAATAATAGAATTGCTGTTAAGTAACATGCTTGAGTAATGGATTGTTCTAACTAATAAATTATATTTAAAATTATATTTAAGTAATTGGTATATATTAGTTTAATACATTGTAGTTTAATCTTATTAAACTAAGGTGAATAAGCTTTTTTTTAGCGATTTGTTACATGCCTATCTATCTACGAACATATCTCTACTCATTTATTCAGTTACTATTTATTATTAAGTTTCTACATGGTACAGAATGAAGTTGACACAGTCCCTGCTTTCACAGCTCTCCCAGTCTACTGGGTCAGACAAAAATGATAAGTTAATCATTAAACACAATAGGGTAAACATAAAGATGGAGAAATGCACAGGATATAGTATGTCTGTAGCTGCAAGATCAATTTGCTATACACGATTTTGGATTGACTTACCTTCTGGGATGTAGGAAGTTGAGAGGTGAGATGAAACAGAATTCCTGACCACCAAACATGGAACAGAGCCAGTAATCAATGGGAAGCCCTCTCCTTCCAGATAGTTTATTTATGCGATTATTTACTCTTAGAGGCGGGTCTAGAAGCATTCTTTTTAATTCCAGCTATGGCAAGTGGAGGGAAGAGTGGAAATCCAAATGACTTCCAGATTTAGAGAGAGGTTGCAGTTTCATGGAAGCTTCTTTAAAAGCTTCTTGTTATACTTTTTCAGGCTATGTGATATACCAAATTAAAAAAAAAAAATCTGCTACTTCTCTTTGAATCCTAGAAACTAGGGTGATCTTTGAAAACTCTCAATCAGATCATGAAACTGTATTGCTTAAATCACCCCAATGGCCTCCCATTTACACACGATTTACTTACTTCAGGAACACGGCTTCAGTTCCACACATCGAAATCTCAAGCTTAATTCCATCTGAGTCTGTTCTTGCTGTTCTCTTTGCTAACGTGCTCGTCCCCAGATCCTCACGTGGAATATCCCTTCTTGCCATTCAGCGCCCGCTCAAAACCCACCAGCTCAGAGAGACCTCTGGAAATCTTACCTCTAGTCCCTTTGCCCCAGTTACTCTCTATGACATTATGCAGTTTCATTTTTCTTTATAGCAATTTCTGAAATTATGTAACTGATTTCTTTACTTATATATTATCTGTTTTCTTTCTTTGTAATGTAACACCATAGAAAAGGAATTTATCTGCTAAAGAAATGTTTGTCCAGAGAATTCTGAATCAGTCTGATGGTAAGATAATTGGCGGAGATTCGATCTGATTCTTATAATTAACAGGACACAGAACTGTTAACTCGGTGCATCTAAGCACAAAAATGAAAAGCACAATAGCAGCATATTGGATGGGCTCTGAGTCTAATAAAATGGACAGGTATACAGATTACCATAACACAAGGCAGAGTAAAATTAATGTGTTAGGAAAGGCACAAATAAAATGCACATTTTTATAAGAAAAGGAGAAGCTACATCCAGAGGAGAAGATCCCGGAAACTTTTATGGCAAAAGCTAGTTGTTTTCAGCTGGTAAAAATGTGGAGGGAGGTGGTGAGAGGTAGGGGATCAGATACCAGAAACAGCAAAATCTCCAAGTAACAAAGGATGGGATTCCAAGGTGATCATAAGTTCTACAATTTGACAGACTAACAGATACATGAAGCCAGAGCTATAAGAAGTAAGACCAACGGGGAGGTTGAAATGCAAGAATCGAGAGCCTTAGAGGAAAATAAGAAATTTATTTGCGCAGGTTGGAGAGCTGCTGGCCGGTTAATAGTAGGAGCCCCCTAGGGGTCGGAGCTGTGCACTAACGGTCAGTGGGAAATTGCAGGGCCAGTTGGGAGGACATTTCTTTGCACAACCTAGACAAGAGGCACTGAGACCCAGAACAAGATGGATACAAGAAAGCCAGAGAGAGGCAGTTTAGTTATACAAGTTACTTTGTTTAGCAACTGTTTGAATATGGATAATGAAGAAAAAAGTAAGGATCACAGAAGACCCAGTACTTCAGGACTAAGGGTCTGAGACATGGTGGTTTATCTGGTTTATCGTTCACAAGCATAAAGCAACTGGCAACAGGAATTGTCAGCAGTTGAGTGAGGGCCAGGACGCTTCCATTTTTTTGAGACTCCCAGCATGTCAGAAAGTAAATGCGAAAACAGACCCTTCCTTTCCTCTTGGGATCACCCTTCTGCTCTTTACATCACTGTCTGTCATGTGGCTTCTCCTTGCAACTCCTCCTCTGTACGGACAGAAAAGGGCGTGGAGGGGAAGGGGAGAGCTATTGCTTGTTGCTGAAGTTCTGCAAGCAAGACAAGCTAGCTCGGAAAGTGTGGCCTGGGGGATTACATCAATTTTTGATGTGTTCTCTTTGGAGCTACATTGCATAATTAAAATGTGTGGGAGCCCATGGAAACTCTTCTCTCCTCGTTCAATGCCAAACAAAAATTAGAGGACACCCAGGCTTTCTTAGAAACCGAAAGGCATTAAAATGAATATTTGATAATGCCCTGTATGATTTATGTTTATTATTTCTCCACCAATTGATTTTTTTTTTTTTAAAAAAGGATGGTTTCTCTGCTGATTTACTGTACTTCACATGTGTCCATTTAAAGGAGAAAACAGATGGATGACTTCCCTGGAAGTTGTTACTGTTGCCGGAGCCTGTGCTCTGCTCTGAATAGTAAGACTCCCCCCCTTATCTTCACAGTTTCATAATAAACAACAAGGACACCTTCTTCAGCAACGCCACTCGGAGCAGGATAGTCTACCACATGCTGCAGCACACCAAATATGAAAATGGGATATCAAAAGTGGGTAAGAACGCAAATTAAAAATGCAGAGAAAGTAGATGTGCGGTTCCTGATGTTACCCAGAAATATTTTAACAACTGAAGCTTTGCCTTCACACATCAATATGAACATATAACACCCTGAGCACAAACTCGAAACATTCTGTTTCCCAGCCTGTCAATAAAACAAACTCTTTTAAGAACACTTGGCCATATGCATCAGAATGCAAAATGTGCAAACACTTTAGAACAGAAATTTTATTCTTGAAATTGATCACAAAGAAATAATCAGACTTTGAATAACGATATACGTAGACATTTGTTCATTGTGGCTTTGTAATAGAATAAAACAAAATTATTTTAACTGTCCATCCTTAGGAAATAACATATAACTTAGACTACATCCACATAATACATTTATTAAAAATGAAATAATTCAAAGATTTCTCAACAACAAATCCTTCTGAGATATTTTGAGGGGTGGGGACTTCCTTTGCTTCCTTAACTAATTTTTTTTTCTTAATAAAAAGAAAAGTTGCTCTAGGTTCATATGATCCTAAATGAGTGTTCATTAACATGTCCCCCATTTCATGGTGTGGCAAAGTATAATCATGCCGGCACCTTGCAAATCTCCATTTATTAAAGTTGTAAGGACAGAATTAGACTCTCAGCATCAGTCTCTTTCACAGCCTCACTGTCCCCCAGGTGATATGGTTATGGAAGTTATTTTGGTTATTTCAAGTTTTTAAATTAATTTATTGTTCAGAGTGTATATATGTTGCTTCAGAAGGAAGTCCTCATTTAAACTAATTCAAGAACTGTTCTTTTCTTCTCATTTTAGGTATCTGTAAACTGATAAACAATGGCTCGTATATAGCAGCTTTTCCCCCACATGAGGTAATTTTGAAATAAAATTTCTATTAAAAATACGGTTATCATGCTCAATACTTGATCTCATTTTTTAAATTTTTAAAAGAATTATCTTTATTATTGAAAGTATTATAGATACCCCC